TTGAACGGCACGGGCACTGCGGGCCTGGGAGCAGGAGAGAGGCCGCTGGGGGCATCTGGCCAGCACTAGGGGGCTGGCACTCCTGCCTCGCTCCCCCTCTTCCCTGCCTGCGCGTGGGGGGGGCTCCTCGGACCCTGGCCTGGGCCTGCCGCCTCCCTCCCCGCCCTCCTCTTGGAGGAGCCCGTCTCTCAGTTGTCCCAGGTGCTTGAGCACAGAGGACTCTTTTATCTTCACCTCCTGCTTCTTCCATCTCCAACCCAGCTGCCCACGGTCCTCTCCACCTCTAAGCAACACGTCATAACTCACTGCTGCCAATCAGTGATTCTCTCATCATTGATGTTTCTGTCTTTCTCTCCTTCTCCCTGCCTCTCTAAAATCAATAACGAGATACATATATAATAAAAAAATCCCAGCCATGATGGCTCAGTGGTTGAGCACGGGCCTATGAACCAGGAAGTCACAGTTGGATTCTGGTCAGGGCATACGTCTGGGTTGCGGGCTCCATCCCCAGTGTGGGACCTGCGGGAGGCAGCTGATCAATGACTCTCTCTCATCATTGATGTTTCTCTCTCTCTCTCCTCCACCTCCCTTCCTCTCTGAAATCAATAAAGATATATTAAAAATAAATAACAGAATAAATAACTCCTGCTGCCCACCCACGCCTGTTCAAGCTTCAGTACCTAGGGCTCAATGCGTGGCACCTCTGCCTCCAGCTGTCCCAGGAGGGCATCCCGGTCTGCCCCACCTCCTCTGCCCTGGCGCCAGCGGAGGCCAAGGCTCAGGCCTCCTTGCCTTCTCTGCGTGCCCACTGCCCTCCCCCGTCTTTTCCTTGGACTGCGAGGGAAGCCTCCTCCCCAGGTGCCCTGCCCGGGGCCTCGGCCCTAGTCTCCGCTCACACATCCAGTCCGGTCCCCGCAGCCGGCCAAGAAGCTGCGGCGAAGCTGGACGGACACCCACGCTCAGCCCCCTGGGTGCCCGCTGACCCGGGCCTCTCTCTCGGCTCTCACATGCTCCGCCCCCTCTGTCTCCAGGCAGGGCCGCCTTTCCCTGGACATGCCCTTCCCTCTGTCTGCTTATCTGCCTAGAACCGTGGTCGGCAAACCGCGTCTTACGAGCCACATGCGGCTCTTTGGCCCCTTCAGTGTGGCTCTTCCACAAAATACCACGTGTGGGCACGCACGTACAGTGCGATTGAAACTTCGTGGCCCATGCGCAGAAGTCGGTATTTTGTGGAAGAGTCACACGCAAGGGGCCAAAGAGCCAAATGTGGCTCGCGAGCCGCAGTTTGCCGACCACTGGCCTAGAAGATTCCTTTTTGACCCTCAATGATCAGCCCAGCTCCTCTAGCTTTCCAGCACCTTCCATGGCTCTCCCAGGCCTTCTTAGGTCTCCTGTCCCCAAGCTCTCGGCCCACTGGTGCAGCCCTGCGTGTTATCAGTTAGCCAAGAGTCCAATCACCAGCTGCATCGAGCCCCAGGAGGAAAGACCAGATCACAGTGCAATGCTGACCATGAACTGGGAGACTGAGAGCCAGAGAGGTCGAGGGCCACGCCCGAGGCCACCCAGCAAGGACGTGGAGAGCTGCCAGTCAAGTCTGCCTGCCTGTCTGGCTCCCATTTCTCCACCACAGTCGGCAGGAGGTCAGCAGGAGGAGCCCTGGGGGCTCTTGTTAATGAGGCGGCTCCACAAATAAAAGGTAAGCCATTGATCATTCAATTATCTCTAGTCATCTGATAATTCTGATATATATTCGTATGATATATATTTCAATATTCGATGTCCAAACAAAGTTCAAAACGAGAAATAAGAATAAGCAAGTCAACACCTGCAGGGACCCTGAGGCTGGATGGACTCATCCCCACGGGCAGCTGCCCCCAGCCTCCCCCCAGGATGGAAGACCGGGACCCGGACGCCCCGCAGCCCGCGGGCTTCTGGTGCCAGAGACGCTGCACGCGCTGCTTGACTCAGCGCCAGGCTGCGCGTTGGCAGGGAGGAGACACCCGTTTCCAGCTCTCGGGAATCCGTGGCCACCGTGTCCTCAGGCCCTCCCGCCCCTCCCCCACTGTCCCTGTTCTTCAGCCCCCCCACCCCCGGGTGAGG